AGGTGGCATCAATGTAATCAGAAGCGTCCTTCAAAATGAAAAATAGGGCCAAAGGAGAGGAGTCACTCAGAGGGAGATGGACTAGAGAAGAAGGGTATGAAAAGATCCATTGTTGTTGACTTTGAAAATAAAGAAAAGCCCCCTAGAGTCAGGGGAGTTGGGTGGTCTCTAGAATCTGCAAAAGGATACGCTGGTATTCTATCATTTTTAAAATTAGCAATGTAAATGTAAATTATTTTTAAATTTGAGCATTTGTATTTCATAGTAGGGAGTTAATTCCTATCATCCTATCAGACATCAGAGTGTCATAAGTAGCTGCTCATTCTGCTTACCTCCAACTCTCATTTACATTTTTTGTTTGTTTTTTTTTTGTTTTTTGAGATGGAGTCTTGCTCTGTTGCCCAGGCTGGAGTACAGTGGCACAATCGCGGTTCGCTGCAAACTCTGCCTCCCGGGTTCAAGCAGTTCTCCTGCCTCAGCCTCCCGAGGAGCTGGATTACAGCCGTGTACCACCATGCCTGGCTAATTTTTGTATTTTTAGTAGAGACGGGGTTATACCATGTTGTCCAGGCTGGTCTCGAACTCCTGACCTCAAATGATCCATGTGCCTTCACCTCCCGAAGTGCTGGGATTACAGACGTGAGCCACCGCGCCCGACCTACAGTTTTCTTAATAGGAATTTACAACCCTAGGACTCATACTTTAACCATCCAGTAAGCACCAAAGGTTTTTATTGCCATAGTGATGAAAGTCATAGTAACTGTGTACACATGCGTCATTTTCTCTGAAGTTGTTCGTATTTCAGGCACAAACCATTCTCACAATGCTAGAAATATATTACTTGTGTTTAGCTAGAATGAAAAATATAAAGTACTAAAAAAGCCTGTTACTGCAACTTTCATGCATCAAGTCCTCCCTGTTCTCCCCAATTCTGTTTGCACTCAGTTCTTAATGCTTCTCTTGCCTAGTTTTAGCTTATTATTTTTGTTATTTTTGAGACAGAGTCTCACTCTGTTGCCCAGGTTGGAGTGCAGTGGTGTGATCTCGTCTCACTGCAACATCCACCTCCCGGGTTCA